TGAACATAAAATTCTTAATTGAAGTGGAAATTGTGATGATGAATCAACAATAGCTTGATAGACATCTTGTGTTAATAAACGTAAATTTTTTCTATTTTCATCTAATTGTTCATGTTGTTCAATACGTGTTGGATCAACTTCATAAGAACGTAAATCTGCTATAAACATTTTTGCTAATATTGGTGCAAATAAATTATATAAATAATGTGAACCATAAAGTTTAAAACAAAATAACATTATTTTTGTTGGTAAACCATTTCCACGTAATATTATTTGATAACAATCAGCTAATTCAACTTCTTTTGCAAACATATTCAATAGTAATTGATGAAGTAAATGTTTTGCATCAAATATTGTTACAAATACTCGTGCTAATTCATCCTATTGAGAAAAAAAAAATTATTTCAATGAAGAATAGAGTAACGAAAAAAACTTGTCAGCGCAGCTTCATTAGGGCTAAAAATGTGCAACTTATGTATGTTCGTATTAAAAACACCTGATGAGCATAAATCTTTAGTCTTCCCTTATTTCTGAAGGATGGATGATATATATTAACCTATCGCCCACACCCTGAATGAAATAACTAACCATATATTGTGGTGAAACAACATTTGCTAATGCCATTGCAATTGGTAATTCTCCTTTATCTCCAATCATTGTAACAAGTTCAACTAATCGTTCAAATCGATCTGCAAGAACAGTTTCAGCAAGTGTATCGAATTCAGTTCCTTGTTGAAGAATTTGTGTTAAAACTTCCATAAATGCTGCTCGAGTTTGTGGATCACGGTGATAACCCAATGCTAAAGAAATTTATTTATTTATTATATTCAATAAAAAGTCTATTTAACTTACCAATACTTCTCATTAAACCACTTTCAATATTTGCAGCAAGTAAATTCGACATAGCAACAATAGTTGAATTTCTTAATGATTGTTGTTTCTGTTGTAATTGATTAATTAATTGTGTTTGTTGTTGTTGTTGCTGTTGTTGTGTTTGATTTGTTGATGTTGTTCGTTCATTATTTGTTTG